CAGCACAGGAGGGGAAGACCCTCTATGAGATGGATTGATTCGGTGACTGGGGTAATCGGGATGGGTGTGTCAGAGGCGGTGTGGTTGGCACAGGATAGAGCAGGGTTTAGAGCTGTTGTGCATAGGGTGGCTATGAGTCGGAAACGACTCGATGGCACATAACAACAACAACATCTATAGGAAATGATCTTATTGTAACGGACATCAAGCTTCTATTATATGTAGTTCTATGATGCATAAGCTATGATGTAAGTTTCTATGATATATGATTTGTTTGGGTTTTTCCTCCCTTCTTTTAGCTTATATTTAGGATGCTCTTGTGGCTTAGAGGTAAGAAGTTGCACTGCCAGCCCAAAGGCCAGAAGTTTGAATCCACCAGATGCTCCGTGGAAGAAAAGTTGGCAGTCTCCTCCTGTGCTATTTACTGCCTCTGGAAACTCACCGGCAGGCCAGCTGTGAGTTGGTTCTGATTCCATGGCACAAAACAACAGCTTCTACCATAACAACAGCAGTTTATGACATGTTGACTCTGAGAGAACACTGTCTGGCCACACCAGTTAGCCGCCGCTGCCCAGCTGCTTCTGACACGAGTCCATACATGTCAAGTAGAACTGTGTTGCTGGGTTCTCCATGGCTGCTCCTTCCGGCAGGAAATGGTTAGAACTTCCTGCTGAGGGCTCTATGTGCAAAGCTCTGCAGATGCACTCAGATCGTGAAACAGATCTCTGCAGTCTTTCCTATGGGCACGAAAATGCTGGTCCAGGGGCTCCAGAATCTGAATCAGTCCCTGTTCTTAGGCTTCATGAGTTAATCCCACCTCCTCCTGTGCTCTTACAAGCTTGCTGGCCTTTTTAATAGTCTTGGTATTAACAACGTGATCAATGGAGTCCAGATACCATCTAAGACAACTGTAACACATGTCAAAGAACATAAGTAGGAACAATCTCCATACGTCTTAGTTTTATTCACGTATGTCTTAAGTTATCATTTTTAAAAAGAGCAAAATTATCTTCATGATGTTTAGTAATATCAGTTAAGTAAAGAAAATATATATATTTTTAAAAAAAATATTTTCAGAATATAGTTCATAGAGACATCAGTTCACAAAGTACTGTCATTTTAAGATAGGATATTATTTAACATAATCATCTGTGCATAAAAAAGATGTGTTCCACTGGGAAAAAAAACTTCAGTCATGGACCTCTCCAAAGTACTAAAGAGCAAGAATTTCAGACTAAAGACTGAGGTGCACCTGACTGAAGCCATAATCTTTCAATTACTTCCTATGCATTTATAGTCGGATAATAAAATAAGAATGACAGAATAATTGATGCCTTTGAACTGTGGTATTAGAGAAGAGTACCGGATATCCTGTGGGCTGCTAAAACAACACACAAATCTGTCTGGGGCAAAGTGCAACCAAGAAGCTTCTTAGAGGCAAAGTTGGTGAAACTCATCTCATCTACATTAGGCATGCTGTCCAGAGGGGCCAGTCCTTGGAAAGGCCGAGGTTCAGCGGTCCAGCAGGATGGACAGATACAGTGATTACTACACAGGGCTTGTGCATGGCAGAGATTGTGGGGATGGTTCAAGAGAGGGCAGAGTCCAGATCGGCTGTCAGAGGGTCACTATGAGTCACAGTGGACTCGATGGCATCTAATGACAATAGTAACAACAAAAATGATAACAACAACAATAACAACAGTAATAACAACAATGGTAACAACAACAAACCTCCTTGGGCCTCTCCTTTGTGATTACTTCTGTGCTGTAACGCTGGCTTTGTCCTTCGTATGTTTTAGGGTTAGTTCTCCTACCGTTTCATTAATGTTGTTTATTCTCAATACGTGTGATGCAATAATGGGCTGCTTCACCCTCTGGCTTTGACTTTTGCTACATGGCTGGGTGGGAACATGCAGACAATGTGTGTAGACTACTCACTAGGGAAATGGTCAGTTTTGCCATCCTGCCAGGGTTAGGAGAGGAAAATGGGAATCTCTCAAGCAGCATGGATTCTTCCATGAAACAGTGAGTGTAGGGCATGCACTTTGGGATCAGAGAGACATAGCTGCAGCAACAGCAGCAGCAGCATCCATAGCAGTAAACCAGGGACTGAGGTGAGACACAGTTGACTGAGGACTGCCACCCCATGCAGGCAGAATCAGGGGGCCTAGGCCCAAGCTTGTTGGAGGTCTGAGGAGAAACTGAGACACTCCAATTGGCAGGACTAAGGAAGCTTTGTAACACTAGTCTACAGTGTTGAGCTCAACGGGCCCATAAGCATACCTGAGAAGTTGTCCTGCCTGAAAAATCCTATCCTCTTTCCAACCTAAATTAGAATCTGTTAATTTCGCTAACAAACCATATTGTAAACTTTATGTGGACACTTCAGTGAATTAGTGAACTCAACAGCCGAGCAGTGAGAGGACTGGCAGAGACAGCTGCAGTTAGAAATGGAAGAAGTAGGTATGGGGGCATGTCTGACTTCAGAGGAATTGGTTTTGTGCTGTTGATGTTGATGGGGACCATTCTCCCTTGTGACACAGCTGCCTCACAATGCCTGCACTATTTCTCCAATACCTTTCCATGAAATTATTTTCTTCTTGACTTTGAGCAAGTTTCTTTTGTTTGTGACTCAAAGAATTTAGCAGATGCAATTTTTACTATGTAGTCCATTTCCAGTCTTACTTTATAAAAAGGCTCCTCGTGGTGTACAGTAACTTAACAATTCTTAAACTTGAGAAGGCAAAGAATATCCAGGAAAGTCATATTAACACATAGATTTCTAGGTCCCAGTCCAGTAGTTCAGTTACCAGGTGATGTTGTTATACTGGTCCAGGAGCCACACTTTGAGAATCAGGGCTCCAGACCTATCACCTTCCCACCCATAACCTGGCGTGGGTATGGTAACCAACAATCCCAGTTTTCCAAGCACTGAGCGGTTTTCAGAGAAGCTAGACTTTCAGTGCTAAAACCAAGACAGTCCCTATACAAGGCAACAGCAAGAGCTATACCTGACAAGAGACCTTCTTCGCACTACTCGCAGGTAACAGACATATGACTATGTCCATTCTACGTTCCTTCCTTCCCCCCATCAAGGGAGAAACTGGAAGATATACTCAGAGGAGCCATTTTCAAAGGATGTCTCTTCTTGGGATAGGACTTATATTCAGATATAAAAAAGGTCAGACCATGATTTAGGCAGGTAAACACGGAGGTCACTTAATTTGTTTGTAACAGTACAGGCTGAGAAAAATAATGACTACAGTACCTGGTCCTTACCTTGAGATTACCTGAGGAGAACATGCTGATGTAATTGTTCACCATCTTAAACACAAATCCCCGGTCCATAAACGTAAAGCATCGCTAAGAAAGAATGAAAACTCAAGTTCAAACTTTTTAAAACTTTAAGCATAATTCAAGCAGCAGATCATCTCTGCATGAACAGAAAACACATTTGTTATGTAAAACGTCACAATAAAGCACATAAAATGATACAATATTCCAAGATTTTAAAAAAAATTTAAGTAGACTGAAATAGTCTAGGTTTGTTTAGCTAAATGTGGTTGAAATAATATGCACGTACACTTTTCAGTCTAGCTTGCTTCGTTTATCTAAGCCTTCTTGGGGTTTGTTAGCTCATAACTTTTGATTCCTAAACACCATCCCATCATATCGATGCAGTACCTTTTGAAACTTTTTGGACCGCAGTTCTGTTCTGACACACATGGGGTATTCATGAATTGGAAAGTACTTGCCAGCAACTGGTTTGGTTTATATGCATCCATCACCATTAAGTTTTGAATAAACAAACTACAGGGGAACACATTATTCCTGAAGCACAGAACATTTACACTATATAGGTTGTTGTTGTTACGTGCTCTTGAGTTGAAAATGCCTCATAGTTGAACTTCCAGCAGATTTTCAGAGGCTGTGATCAGATAGGCAATTGTCCATCTTTTCTCCTTGGAGCAACTGGTGGATTTGAACCGTATGCCTTTGGGTTGGCAGCATAATTCCTTATCACTTGGTCACTTAGAACTCCTTCTATACAGAGTTGTTGTTGTGTATCTTTGATTTGAAACCGACCCATTGCATAGGAGGTTGCCCATTCTGACTGATTGTCCTTTTTGATGTTTAAGGAGACATGCCTTATTAATTTTTTAAACATGTTTTCCTAATGAACTGAGTCTGCTTCTTCTATCAGATTTTCTCCAACTTGTTTCTAAAAGCTAGCGGTAATAAAGCAATCATTACACACACACACACAGAAACACACACACACACACACACACACACAGACACACAGAAACACACACACACACACAGAAACACACACACACACACACACACAATGGCTCAATGAAGAGAGAAAAAGCAAATCAGAATAATGTTTGCTGCCACCTGCATAAAATAATCTGGATAAATACACTCAAACTCAAACTCAATTCACAGCCATCAAGTCAGTGCCAAGTCAAAGCTGAGACTCCAGAGGCAGTGAATGACACAAGTGGAGACTGTTCCTTTTACTCCTGCAGAGCAGCTGATGGATTCGAACCACTAATGTTTGGGTTAGCAGTGCAACTTCCTACCCACCAGGCCACCAAAGTGCTGGATATACTCAAGTAAGAATTGTGATTCAGATTGTTCATAAAAGAAAATACTCATGAAAGCTAAATATATAATAATAGACTTCTCAAATCCAATCCACTTCAGGGAGAGAAGAGTTGGAGAAATGGATAACGATTTTGGCATAATTTCTGTAAAAAATATTACTTTTCTGTGAAGTAATAAAAGGAAAATCTTTTTTAAAAAATATATAAACACACACAAAAACCAAACAACTAAGAGCCCTACGTGGTGCAGTTTGCATTTGACTGCTTCTGATGGCATAACAGCTGTATATGTGATTTCTATGAATCCTGCTACACTCGTGGTTTTCCTCTTTGATCATCCTGTGTTGATCTTTAGAAAGTGCTCTTCTATCCCAACAAGTGGAGCCCTGGTGCAGTCAACAGGGAGTCGGTCCTGCGAACCCAAAGGCTGCCTCTCTCGTGGTTCTAATCCACCACCAGCTTTACGGAGAAAAGACGGCCACTCTCCTCCCACGTGATCTACCATCCAGGAAACCTGCGAGGGGCCAGCTATGCGCTGCTTCTCACCCGACGGCAACAACATTTTAACATTTTTATTCTACCAATTACCAAGTACGAAAGGCAAATAGAACTTGGATATGGACTCTTTCAACCTCCTTTTTAGAGACCTGCATCATGTTTGTTGTTTGTTTTTTTTTTAATTTTGAGATGACTACGGAAGTTGTTTCTTTAAAGACATTTTGTCATGCCAATAATACCTAATCATATATTCCTTTTATACAGTTCTCTCCCTGGTCTGTTTCAATACCATGTACATTATTTATCCCCTCTTCTCAATAGTTTCCACCTCACCCTCATTTCAGTCCTGTTTTATAACAGTGGCATTATGCCATAGTTGTCTTTTTGTGACTGAGATATTTCATTCAGGGTCACCCATTTTGTATAATATTTCATGAGTTCTTTGTTTTTCACTGCTGTATAGTATTCCATAGTGTGAATGTACCACAGCTTCTCTATTCATTCATTTGTTGATGGGCACTTGGGTTGTTTCCAGCTCTTTGCTATTATGAACAAAGCAACAAAAAATATGGGTGTGCATATAAAAAATTTTAAAAAGATATTTTGCTTCTAATTTGACCATAAGTCATTTTTGCATATTTTCTTCATTTGTCAGTAATTACCAGCTAGCTATCAAAAATAAATATTGAACCCATACAGGTTTTCAAATATGGTAAAAGATAGGGATATCTAGGGCCTAGGGATAGCATTGTGTTAGGGATATTAGTTGTTTGTTTTTCTCTCCAATCACCTTTTCTCTTAACCTTACACATCCCTGCCACTTCTTGGAATCAGAGAAGATACAAAATAAGATGTAAAGGACTGCAGAAAAATTTTAAATTTAAGATGAGAAGAAATATAACAAATTATGAAATGGATTGAATGTATTAGAAAATAATTCTGTGGCACTTTAAAGATTAATTATCCACCTGCCTCCAATGATTGTTCACTTGACATCAATATTTATTTCTAAATTCTTGCAGCAATCCAGTATGCTTTAATGTTTTCTATAAAGAAACAAGGTCAAGGTTATAGTTGGCAAAAGGAGTAAAAGAAGAGAAGCATTACCTTTTTTAGTGAGCACATTGTCTATTAAATAATACTGATAACTCTGCACATTAGCTTTCATTTATGACTCTGCATTTTTTTTCTTCTAAATGAATGCTTTGCCATCCAAAGAAATAGAGGGAAACTGTCTATCCTTCTCCATGGAGCAGCCAGTGGATTTGAACCGTGTTCCCTTTGGGATTATAGGGCAGCTTCTTGCCACTAGGCTATCAGCACTCCCCAGATACAGTTAGTACTTTTATTTATGTTAGTAAGCTTTAGCTCAAATGTTTTAATTATCTTTCCATTGTATAATCAGGAGTGATAGATATTACAGCAAAAATTCGAAATTCTATCTTACATTTTTATTTATTTCTATAGCGAATTTGAAATCTGACATAATTTGAAGGCTAGAAATAATTAAAAAGAAACTCTACAATGCAATTTTCTTTTAAATTTAACATTACACAGATTCTTTTAATCTTTGCTTTAAAAAGAATTTTAAGTATTGTGGTCTGATAACACTGAAATAGTTACTTTTATTTAACTTACCCTCATCTTTTTCTATGAGATTCTCATTGAGGAAAGAAGATATTTTCAAGAGGAAAGACAGACAAATGAAAGTACTTATCTAATATGGTGGTTTTGACTCTTGATTATAGATAGAGAAATAAGCTTTTTCTCTCTCATATAGACTGTTAAGGACTTAAGAACTGGCATCCCATATCATCCTACCTTGAGAAAGCTGGCAACGCTGTGATTCGCCCTCCTTGTTTCCTCCACTGCCTCTTTGTATTTCCAAATCACGTGGTCACACAGAACCATCACGAGAGTGTCCAGTTCATGCAGGTAGGATTCTGGAAATCTTTGAGCACGGGGAAGCTATGGAAAAAGATAGATTGTTTTCTTATAATAATTTGTTGTTGCTGTTACGTACCATTGAGTCACTTGCTACTCATAGCAACCCTGGGTACAACAGCCCTGAAACCTACTCTATCCTGTGCCAACTTCACTGTCTCTGATACACCCACTCTCATTACCCCAGTCACTGTATCAATCCATCTCATTGATGGTTTTCCTCTCTTTCTCTGTCCCTCCACCCTTCCAAGCACGATGTCTCTTTCTAAGGACAGGTCCCCCCTTGCAACACGCCCAAAGTATATCAGATGAAGCTTCAGAATCCTTGCCTCCAAGGATCAGCCTGGCTTCACAGGATGAACCTGTTTGTTCTCCTGGAAGACAATCGTATATTCAAAACTTCTCCGCACCACAGCTCGAAGGCATCAATTCTCTTTCTATCATCCCCAGTCATTGTCCAGCTCTCTGATGCATAGCAAGCAATTGTGAAGAGTATGGCCTGGATCAGGCACACCTTAGTCTCCAGACTGATGTTGTTGCTCTTCAGTATTCTGGAGAGGTCCCTGATAGCCGACTTTCCCAGTGCAATTAATTCATCTCTTGATTTCCTGGCTGCTGGTACCAAGAGTGTTGTTTGTGGAGCCAAGCAAACTAAAGCTGCTAACAATCTCAGTATCTTCACCTTCTATCATGATGCTGCCAGTTGGTCCAGTGGTGAGAATCTTTGTTTTCTTGATGTTGAACTTTAATCCATATTGAAGGCTGCAGTCTTTGATCTTCTGCAGCAAGGGTTTTAGGTCCTCTCCTCTGTTTCAGCAAGCAAGATTATGTCATTTGCATAATGCAGGTTCTTGATAAATCTTCCTCCAATTCTGATGCCACATTTCTCCTCATACAGCCCAGCCTCCCAGATTATCTGTTCTGCATATAGATTTAAAAGGTATGGAGACAGATTACATCCCTGGCGCCCACCCTTCCCAGTTTTGAACCTTCCAGTGTCTCCTTGCTTTGTTCTGATGTCTGCCTCCTGCTCTAAGTATAGGTTTTGCTTAAGCACAATCAAATGTTATGGGATTCCCATTCCTCTCAGAGTCAGCTACAGTTTGTTGTGATCCACACAGTCAAATGCCTTTGTATAGTCAATGAAACACAGATCGACATTCCTCTGGTACCCTCTGCTTTGAGCCAAGATCTGTCTAACATTAGCTATAATATCCTTAGTGCCATAACCTCTTCTAAACCCAGCCTGCACATCTGGAAGTTCTCTGTGGATGTACTGCTCCAGTTGTTTTGGGACAATTTTCAGCAGAATCTTGCTTGTCTGTGCTGTTAATGATATTTTTTATAATTTATGCACTCTGTCAGGTCACTTTCTTTCATTGGGAATATTAAGCCTGGGGTAGGGAAAACCCAGAAGTCTTAATTAATTGTATATAGTGTTATATAAGTATAAAGTCGTTTTGAAAACTTGAAAGCAACAATGAGTTGATCTCCTTTAATTTGTAGGCTGTAATCTCTATCATTTAATGTTCCATTCCATCCATTTCCCAATTTTTCACTAAAATGAAAAAAGAACGTATTATTGGCAAACTATCAATATGTGTTGTTGTTGTTGTTGTTGATTGTTGTAGACTCAAGCACGACTCATAGTGACCCTTTGAACAAAAGACCTGAAGCCTTTCTATAACTATTGTTGTTTCTCAAAGTTCATACAGTTTCCAGAGGCATGTTGTTTAGGAAGTGGATGGCACTCCTGCTTTCAAATTCAAATAATAATAATAATAATAATAATAATAGTTAAGGATAATTTAAATAACAATAAATGATAGAGGTGTGCAATGTAAAATGGGAACATTTTCTTTAATCCCACATAACTTAATTCTCTTCCCCATTCTTTCAGGAAACCACTACTATTAGTGATTTAATAGGTATTCTTCTATATATTTTTCAAAGTATACGAATTTTGTGTTTAACGTAACTTCAGTTTGTTTGGTGTTTTTGCTCACCATCCCCGGTAAACAGCGTCAATAAACCAGCGCATGAGTAACTGGATGAGTACAGGTACTGGTTTGAATTGTTCTGGATTAAGTGCCAAGTTTCGCTTGTCCTCACCCCGGGGTCCCAGACTCTGCTGAGCCGGTGCTGGTGGAGAATTCATTCGGGGTACACTGGGCACAAGTTCATGTGACCACAATGTCCTCTGAGACTGCATGACCACGTGCTTGCCCTATACCTTGAGAGACTAAACAAGCAAACAAGTTGCTGTCTAATGAGTTGTCACTCAGGGCTACCCCAGAGCACTGTCCTCCGGAGGGTTCCATGACCGAACTTTCAGGGTTAGATTACCGGGGTAGTTCACTTCTGTGTGAACTCAAATATCTCAGTTTTAGATTCTGAGCAAGCCAACATTTTATACCACCCTGGGCCTCCTTGAGAACACTCTGTGGACCCCTAAAGGCCACTTTTCCATCCAAGAGTCCATCCTCCTGTTTGGAGATCTGCCTAAAAACATAATGCCAGCAGCTGAGTTTTCCTCATTGCTTCCAACTTCTGCTATTTACAGAACTTTTCTGCAACACATAAAAATGAGCCATTTATCTTTACAAGTTGCATTTAAAAACTAGGCCCACGGACATTGTCACCTTAATCAGAAATGCAGAATTTGTAGTTCCCTGAGCTACCTAGTTCTGAAATTGTGAGACTACAGACCATGAAGGGTGAAGTTCTAGACAGGAGCTATATAAAACAAATCATAATTTAAGAGAGGTTGGATGGAGTTAGGTTTGTATTTATATATTTAAGTTGATTCACTGTATAGGCATTTTAAGGATCTAATGGCCACATTTTACATGTATTTAAAGCCTATTTTTGAAATCAAGCCAAATAAATAACAAATAAGCATGATCAACTTAATAATGTACCTGACTCAGCACCTAAGTAAATTACCCCAGTTCATAGTCTAATTGATACAGAAGCTGCCAGCTTCAAGTGCAGCCTGGAAAATGTTGTCTCTAAATAAGCGATGTCTGGCATGGTACTAGGCCTTGGGAAAGACAGAACGCTTGGGGATGGGACACAACCTGAACATGCATCTAGAACTTTCCATGATGTGCTGTAAGTTCTGTCAGACCCACCTAGTTAAGGAGTTCAGGAGGCCTGGGAGCAGCCCAAAACCGTTCTTACCTGAATCTTATCTGTATCAATCAAGTGTTGTGCCATTGATTTTAGGATGACAGCAAAGAAGAACCAGGAATGCTGGTGGGGGAAAAAGATACAATTAATAACCATCCTAGAATAGCAGAGATAGGGGGTAGATTTGGAGGTGAATGAATAGGCAAGAAGCAATGGGGACTTGAAGAGACAAGTGAAAAAAGGTATAGATTAATCGTAACTAATTATATAGTATATGCACAATGTGTATGTGTGAATATATAAAACACAATGTACATGAACGAAACACAATGTTTGTGAATTACTGTATGCAAAGCAAAAAAATTTAAAAATATATATTATGCTATAAAAAGTTAATAATTCTATACTTCACAATTCTAAATGTAATATGCTCAAATGAAAGTGTTTCACTAAGTTAAAAAAACCTTTTTTTGTAGTAAGAGGAAACACTGGTGGCCCAGTGTTAAGAAGCTGCGCTGCAATCCCAAAGGCACACAGTTTGAATCTACTAGCTGCTCCAGTAAGATGGGCAATCTTCTCTTGACAGTGATTTACTGCCTCTGAAAATCTGCTGGAGGGTCAACTAAAGGTCTATTTTGACTCAATGGCACACGACAACATAGTAGGCCTACTCCTAAAATTTGTAGGCCTTACATGAGAGCACAAATGGAACACCCAATGTCTAGATAGTCAAGAGTTGGAATTCAAACTAACAAAGTATTAAATAGAATATGCTCTGTCCTCCTACTCTGACAAAAATACCTTTATAACAACTTGGAATTCTGCACCAGAATATGGAGACTTGGGAAAGCAGAGTCAGTCCTGGTCACTCCCTTTCTTCTCATCAAGGCTCCGCCCCACCCCTCAGGGCTCAGAACTCACTGTGTGCCCCAAGCCTCCACATCCAAATGCTGTTCACAAATCACTATCCATCTGCCAAAGGCCTCCGGAGTCTGAAGTCACACTCAGGTATCAAGTCCTGTCCTCAGAAGGATGGATCTAGGGAAGGGGTCCAAGCCATTCTTGGACTTGGCCTTGAAGTTCTTTGGGCCATGGTCAAGTATTGTATTCTACATCTGCTCAAACCCCTTTAATGGGTCCCAGTTTCCCTGAGTAGAAAGCAAATCCTGATAGTATTCCACAGGCTGTCAAGCTTCCCTGGCTTCTTTTTTCCTCTGTTACTCAGCTTAACCCCGATGGCTTCCCAGCCATTCTCTGTACACATTAGGCTGCTGATGTCTTGAAATTCATACAGAACTCTGCATCTCCCTTCAATGTTCTACCCCAAGAATCCACATGACCCACTCACTCACCTCCTTCATGCCTTTTACTCCATTATTGCCTTCTTGACCAGCCTGTTTAAGAGTGTATATCTCACTTTTCAATTTAGCTTCTCAAAGATCCTTACCCATTCTGTCTCTTTCCCTCATACTACTGCTCACTTTTGCATTTGTTGGGTGTGTCTTTAAAACTCCACAGGGCCCTCGGGCCAAATTTATTAATGCTAGCATTCATATTCTTTAAGTGGTACAGTAGTTTTTCTATTTGCTGTTCTGAATAAGCTGGAGTTGCTGTGATGCTGAACACTGCACCATAGATGTGTTAAATGTCATAATGGTTTCCCATCATGGATAGTGTTTGGAGGAACTGCCAGATTGATTCAGGTTTTGAAGCAGGAGTGGCATCCATTTCCTAAACCAGATGCCTCTGGAAACTCTATAAACTCTATCAGCATAAAGAAATAATGTTCATTGTAGAACAGAGTGCAGGTCTTTTTTTCATAAGATCGCTGAGTTGTGTTTACCTGATGACACATAGACACTACTAACTGAGACTAGTGTTGTTATATTTTGGAGGAACATTCTTCTACTTTGTACATCACTCTTTTCCAAATTTACTGTACTGTGATAATCTGGGTTTGCTGTGATGCTAAACCTTGTGTCACTGGGGTGTGAAATGCATAGTGGACATGTTTTGTTGAGCTCCCAGTTGTAAAACAGATTGATTCAGGTTTGAAAGCAGAAGTGGCATCCACTTCCTAGACCACATGCCTATGGAAACTCTATGAACTTGGAGAAATGACAGTAGTTATAGAAAAGCTTTAGGTTTTTTATTCATGGAGTCACTATAACTCGTGTTCAACTAGATGGGCAATCCCCCCCCACCCCACCCGTGTGATTTACAGCCTCAGAGCCAGTATGAATCAATTTAGACTTGAAGGCAGTGAGTGATTTTGAGTTTTATCTACTCTAATGTTAATATTAAGCTTATGCTGGAAATCACAAGAGAAAAAAATATCTATGAAAATCAATCTTATCAATCCAGGGGTTAAGGGTGATCCATCCTGAACAAACACATGACTATCTTTACTCTTTGTTTTTATGCAAACAGGCACAGCCGTGAACTCAACTATACCCATGATTATGGAGACAGCTCTGGACAAGGCAATGCTTCACTGTTTTGATGGTCTCCATGAATCACAACTGACTTGATGTTAACTAATAATGTTGTTGTTAAGTGCCGTCGAGTCGTAGGCAACTCGTAGTGACCCTGTGAACAAAAGCCCTCAACACTTGTGTGATTTTCACCCTTTCTCCAGATTCATAGGGTTTCCCGAGACGAGCTGCTCTACGGAAGTGGATGCCATTCCTGCTTTCAAGCTTGTTTTAATTGCGGAGCGCCACTAAACACTGTCTGCCATGGGTAACCATTAACACACTTGACACATCAGTGTCACAGTGTTCAGCTTCATGGCAACCACGAGTTATCTCTGTACAGCAAGTGGACACACCAGGGCTATACGACCTAGAAGAATGTTTGAACAAAAACAGTGAAAGACAGGCTTTCTGTCCACGGGGCCGACTGATCACTCTCTACAGCAATAATATCTTTTTCCTTACCTTCAGCACATGCTTCACTGTTGTCGCATCATTTGATTTCAAAAGGCCAGTCACATTTTTTGCCAGTTGTTCATGGATGGTTCTTTCCTTGTACGTCCTGGTCTTGAATACGAACTGAAGGAAATTCAAAGAATGAATTGCTAGTGGAAGACTTTTTTTAAAGCTTCCAAACATGGTACACTAGTAGCCCACATCTTGAAATTATTTGCTCATGCCAGGCTTTATCATGAAAGAAATGAAGGCCCAATGACAAGAGTAGAACACACCTGTTCCTAGTTATCTCTCTGCACAGGTGGGACCTCGATCATCTAAGCTCTCCTTGAAACTCTTTCGAGACACGGAGAGTCAGAGGGCAATTCAGCAGGTTCAGTGAGACATGGGCGGCTTTGACCCACCTACTTAGAGGACACATATCCCCTTCTCCTTCCTTCCACTGGTAACAGGTGGCATGGGAGCAATTCTTCATCCTGAAAGGGGTAGAGCACCCACTCAAACAGCCAAGTGGGAAAAGAGGGTGCCTTCCACAGGTCAGCAGGGAGCTCCCAAAAGAGCCAAGTGAGTACCCTCTAATTCATAGACATATATCAAGGGGTTCATGAATACTAGCCACCAGTAAGGTATCAAATCCCTCTCATTTTTTTAGCAAAAATAGATTGTTGTTGTTGTTGTTAAGTGCCGTCGAGTCACAGGTGACTCATAGCGACCCTATGAAGGAGAGTCCTCGACGCCTGGGTGCCTTTCATCCTCTCTCCAGGTTCATAGGGTTGCCGGAAGCAAGCTATTACGGAAGTGGATGCCACTCCTCCTTCCAAAAATAGATTAGTTTTGATATATACTACTTGGTGCTTGTGATGGTTTTACTCTTCAGTATTTTTCTTTAAGGTTCTCAAGCCCAGTTTATATCACACATACATAATTATTCTCAATGATATTATTTTACGAGTTGGTTAATTTTAAGGAAGGAAGGAAGCCTATCATCATGTTTACATTCTGGACTTCACAGCAGTTAAGAGTGGAGGCAAACAAGAAGCTGACTCAAAGCAGAGAGACTTTCCATTAGGATCCAGAATTAGCTCTCTGATCTTTATGGTACATGGTATATAACACATTGTAATGGGGCCAACTTCTCCAAACTCACCCTAGAAAAGGACAACGCAGACAGATGCAAAACTAGTGAAATTCAAAGAACGATACGATTTCCCCCCAATGATGATTCATGAAAATAAATTCACCATCAATCACGTCATCCTATCTATGTGCACTTAAACTCGAGCTCATTTGAACTACCTCTGAAATAATTTCATTTTTTATATTGCGACTAGAACACGGCAGAGCCACAAATCACTGTGCAAACAGACTGACTCTGGACATACATTATTGAAAGAGACATGACGCCTGCTGTACATTTCAGATACCGAGGATGGGGTGAGTTAGCATTTAGCATCACTGAACTTGAAATGGTGTTTAGTTAACATTTAAAGAAATATCAATAACATTGATCACATCTTTCAAGGGCATCAAAACAGGTATTGGTTTGAATTC